CTTTAGACGTATACATTCAGTCAGAAATCATTTTCAGTAAAAGCTTCTCATGAAATAAAGTAAATAAATGTAATATAAAAAACAGAAAGCTTAAAAATATGTCTTAAATTCTTCTTTAATACTTTAAAATTAAGTCTCCTGGTTAATCAGATATAGCCCTGAATGTAGGATTTGTCTGGATTTTTAACGTATTGTTCATATTGTAATGAATTGTTGTTGTGTTATAGGGCTTTTTATTCTTTTTAAACACGTTACTTAACATGTCTTTAAAGTTTTAGTCTGATTTAATGCCTCAAGGTGTATGTAAATATCTGGTTTCCTCAGCAGAGCTCTGAGTTGGAGGATTTGGAGGTTTTTTGTATCGATGTCACCGGGTGTAGAGATGAGATCATCCATCCTGAATGTGTGGTTTGTGTCTCACGTCTCCACACCCACTGAAAAATGGAGAAAACATCTTTTTTTATTCTCATCCCAAACATCCCACACACGTCCAGGCTTTTTAATAAACGGACTCTGTTTTACCCCGCGTTGTTTGGATCTTCTAATGGCTTTTTGGTTTTTCTCTGATGTTGTTTGGTTTATAAACTGACATTTTTTTCTGTCGGTTCAGTCGTCCTCAGCAGAAACTCAAGATAAAACATTTGACTTCAGCTTGAAACGAGTGAAAACCACACCTGTTGTTCATTTTTACTTCTTCCTCCGGGGTTCAGATTTTTGTTTTTATCAAAATGTTTCTGTTAAATGTTTTTACATTATTGTGTTCTGTTGTTGTGATTTAACCCTTTACTCTTAAAGTTTGGTTAAGTTTTATGTTAAACATAATATTTTGTGACCTCTCAGATGTCAATCAAAGCAGGAGGCAGAGGAGGAGGAGCCACGTGTCTCAGCTGTAAGGAGAGCTGCTCTGGGTTTCAGCCACATACTTGGAGGTACAGATACATCCTAAGTTGATTTATTTATTCCCTTTTGCCCCGAAGTTTAAACAAAAATACGTTAAAACCTCCTGAGACCCAAACTTTTATTGACGTTCAATCTGTTCTCCAACATACATGAGATTAGTAAGACCAAATGAGAATAATAACTAGATTCTGTCATGGTACAGGAAGTGGTTTTTGCAAAAAGTGATGTCCTCGTATGAGGACACTGGGTCTAAAAACATCACACTTGCTGAGGAATACCTGAGCCACTACCATGTGAAACATGAGAAGCTTTTGGGAATACAGCAGCCAGCTGTTGACCTGAGCAATACCAGTGAAGTCCATCATCATCATCATCATCAGTGACAACTTTTATATTGCTCCTCAGTTTGAAGTATTGGTCATATAACATGATGACTGGAAATCATAGTGTTTGACCAGAACATCCTTGGTCAAATGAATAGGTTGAACAAATATACCACTTACAAGAAATATTTACACTTGCATAAATGTTCCCAGATTTATTCAACCTCATGGGACAATCAATAACAAAACAAAGTCCTAATGTCCTCATATGAGGACTTCATCTTCACTATCATTGTTCTTTGCTACATTTGCAAAAATCTGTCAAATTTGCATGCCTTTTGCATCAAAAACCCAAATAGAATCAAAGCTAAATGTTCAAAAAAATGAGTAATTAACCCAGCTGGGTCTGGTTCTTCCGGTCCAGGAAATCCTGCGTGGCGTGCGGCTGCAGCACGGCGGACCACGCCACTCCAGGGGGCCACCTGGAGGACGACCAGCGAATGGGACGCCTGCTCGCAGACTCGCCCTGCTCGCATCTGTCGGCCAAGGTCAAAGGCGGCGGCGGCCTCCGCATGTACAAGAGAAACCGCATGATTGTGACGAACCCGGTGGTGTCCCGCAAAGACCCGACCTTCAGCACCACCACCTACGACTGGGCGCCGGCCGGCCTCAACCAGAAACTGGTGAGAATATTTCACGCTGGGCTCCTGCGGCTCTGTAACGTCGGCTCAGAGTTTCTGGTTTCTATTAAAACCAGACGGAATCAGTTTCAGCCTGTAATTACAGAGATGACAGACATTACTGTGGCTCGGCTTGTAGAGGCAGATCCAAACCCGACGCAGGCTCTGAACATGAGACACTGCAACGCCGTGTTTGGTTCAGACCATTAGTCATCATCTCTCTCACACAGAAAACACCTGGACTGGGCCAAACCCTCCCAGAACCTGCTGCTCAGGTTTCACTGCAAAATACATTCATCTAATCCACCTGAAAGATGCCAAACTTACCGTGTTTTTAACAAACTGTAAATATTTAAACAATTTTATTTCAAAACCTGATCTAAGAAGGAATAAAAGCCATGTTTTTGCAGATGAACATGATTTTTTTGCACAATATTTAGGATTTTTCTGCAGCATACAACAGATCTTTGTTTGCTAAAGAGACCGTCTGGAACCAGAACCAGTCATGAGTCAGATGTATGGGATAAATCTTGTGCCAACAGGAATTGAATTTTAATTACTCAGATTGAATCTGAATGTGCATAATTTGAAATTGAATGCGTTGTGTGAGGATTTGCTGTTTTGTGTGTGTTTTCTGTTCTTGTCTTGTGCTTCCATCTAGTGTTCGTTTCACACCTTGTCATCAGTCCTCAGATTATTCAGCCCTTCTAGATCATTCTGCTCACCTGTCTTCACTCCTAATCATCACAGCTGTCTCCACTCTCCTCTTAGCCTCTGACCACTTATACTGGTTCTCCTGCTCTCCACCTTCATCATCATTGTTTGTTTCTGTTTGGTTCATGTTCTGCCCTGGCTTCCTTGTTCTTGCTTGCTTGTAAGTTTTCTGTTTTGCCACCACGCTGGCCTTTAATTTAATAAAAGTTTTGTTTGATTTTTAAGTCTGCCTGCCTGCATTTAGGTCCATCCTGCCACTAAACCATGATACATGGGTTAGAAAATAAATTTCACTAAATTAAAACAGAATTTAATTATTTGAAACTGAATTTAAAGTTTTGTATTTGAATTAATTTGCTTTGAAACTGTATTTTGGTTAATTAAAAAATTCAGTTTGACTACTTTCAGTTCCATAATTCAGATGTTTGTGTCACATCCTGGTCCTTGAGAAAGCCAGGCAGAGTAATCAAACACAGATCCACAGATTTATGTTTCACTTTGGTGAAGTTTCCCTTCTGGATGTAACAGAGTTGATGCAATCCACTGTAAAAGTGACAAAAACACACAAAGTTATTTTATTGCAGTGATTAATTTGACCTATATGTAGAAAATGTTACATTTACGATGACATCGTAGATCAGTCAGCAGCATCTGATCAATATGTGATCCATGATGTGATGTAAATGTAACATTTTCTACATATAGGTCAAATTAATCACTGCAATAAAATAACTTTGTGTTTTTGTCACTTTTACAGTGGATTGCATCAACTCTGTTACATCCAGAAGGGAAACTTCACCAAAGTGAAACATAAATCTGTGGATCTGTGTTTGATTACTCTGCCTGGCTTTCTCAAGGACCAGGATGTGACACAAAAATCTGAATTATGGAACTGAAAGTGAAAGTAGTCAAACTGAATTTTTAATAAACCAAAATACAGTTTCAAAGCAAACTAATTCAGATACAAAACTTTAAATTCAGTTTCAAGTTAGTGAAACTCAATTTCAAATTTATGCACATTCAGATTCAATCTGAGCAATTCAAATTCAGTTCCTTCTGGCACAAGATTTATCCCATTTATCCCGTACGGATGTTGTGACGTCTTATAAAGACAAAATTAAACATTTTGAAGTCCACAATTTGTCCATTTTCTGCCGGAAACCTTGCAGAAAAAAGAGGTTTGTTTTTTCACACAGCTTTAAACAGTTTTGAGGAGGAAATCAGACATTTATTCATTAAAACCACACATTTCTTGGACTCCCTCAGGCCATGCAGTACATGGAGCTCCTCCCAGAGAGTCGGCGTCCCGTCTCTGGGACCCCCGGCGCCCTGGAGCGACGCAGGCAGCTTCTGACCCAGCTCCCGGTCTACGATCAGGACCCCATGAAGTGTCAGAGCCTCTCCAGTGAGGAGGAGGTACCGGACATCATCAGCACCTCCTCTGACCTGACGGATCGCAGGCCTAATTCATCTTCCTGTTTGCAGATTTCCTCCATGATCCTGTTCGTGAAGCGGTACAAAGAGGAGGTGTTGGGGGTGGGCGAGGTGGGCTTGCCCGGAGAGGGCGGGGCTCTGAGGGAAGCGGCCATTCAGAGGACGGCGAAGGAGGATGCTGCTCAGCATCAGGACCACGTCCCCTCCGCTGTGAACGGAACCGATGACAAAACTCAACACGTGAGGAAATAACGTTATTTTTAGGGATGCACAATATATCAGCATTAATATCGGTATCGGACGATATTGGTAATTTTTTTAGAATATCGTATCGGTCCAATATGTAAAACTGGGCCGATAGTAACGTCTGACATTGATTTCCCACTTTTCATCTTTGTGTTTGTGTTTTGGGAGTGGAGATGGTTGGTTGAGCAGCATCTGTTTGATCATGATAGTGACAGTGTTGTATAAAGTACCTCAAAGTGATACTTGAGTAAAAGTACAAGTATCTTATCATAAAAATACTTTGGTAAAAGTTAAAGTCTTCTCTAAAAATATTACTTGAGTAAAAGTCTTAAAGTATCTGATATTTTTTGTACTTGAGTATCAAAAGTAAATTTCTGACACAAAATCTACTTAAGTATTAAAAGTAAAAGTACTGAGTAAAAGTGAGCAGTTAGATTTTACAAAAAGACATTTATTGGGAGGTGACTTCTCAAAAAATATTTTTGATGATGGGTTGTGTACAAGCTAACAGTGTGTCAGAATGGTTTATATTTATACTTCTCATCCAAACACAATTAAATTCACTCTATAGGAGACACAGTTTATCAGGAGAGGAGTTTATTTTAAGTAACAACTCAGAATAAAACAGGAGAAACAACTTTCTACTTCTTACCTTTTTAATAAATGTAGTGAGTAGAAAGTACAGATAATTGTGTAAAAATGTAATTAGTAAAAGTAAAAAGTAAGCCGAAAAATAATTAAAGTACAGATAACCAAAATTTCTACTTAAGTACAGTAACAAAGTATTTGTACTTACTGTAGTTACTTTACAACTCTGGATAGTGATATTCATGCCGCAGCAGGAATAACTGAAGCAGAGTTCTGGTTGTTTATTTACAGTATCTAAAGTGTGTAATTTGTGTGTTTGTAAAATATCGTTAAATATCGGTTATCGGGACGACAGCAATAATTATATCGGATATCAAAATCGGCTGAAACTTTCACATTGGTGCATCTTTATTTTCAAAATAAAAGTTGTGTTTTTGCTGAGTCAGCTCTTCTCCTCCCTCCCAGCGGTGCACCGGCTGCCACGGCGAGCTGGCCGAAGACAGACCGGTCGTTTACGCCGAGCGAGCAGGTTACCACGACGCCCAGTGGCATCCCACCTGCTTCGTGTGCTCGGAGTGCAGTCAGGGTCTGGTGGACCTGGTCTACTTCTGGTCCAATCAGAAGCTGCTCTGCGGTCGACACTACTGTCAGTCGGCGTGGCCTCGGTGCTCCGGCTGCGACGAGGTGAGGATCTGAGAAACGAAGGCTGATGAAGTGATGGAAATGTTTCTTTTTTTGATAAAACCTCATCCTCGTTTGTCCTCCAGCTCATCTTCTGTAAGAACTTCCTGACGGGGACGGATGGACGAACGTGGCATCAAGAACATTACTGCTGCTGGAAATGTGGCCAAAGCCTGGACTCCCCCTGTCAGCACTCAGAATGAGGAGTCCAGATCCAAACCAGAACCAAGGAAGAGTTCAAATATATACTGGCTGTTTGTTCCAAAGTCTAAAAGCTTAGATCAGAAATATAGAGTTTCGGCACCCGCTTTGGATGTTATCAACCATGAAATGGGCGTTATTAGGCGTTATCAGTCCCCTAGGATGGCTTCAGAATGTCAGCTGGTTAATATGAGGCATAAAAAATGTGGTTAATATGAGGCATAAAAAATGTGGTTAATATGAGGCTTAAAGCCACCAAGTTTGAACTTGGAGCACATGACATGGTTAGCATTAACCTCCGACAGATGTAAATAGTGGCCTTCCAATAGAGCAGTGGGTAGAGTGTCAGACCAGTGAGCGAGCGAGAGACTAGGGTTTGAGTCCAACACAGATACAAAAATTTTATTACAATATGTTTTGGTTATTTACACATTCATTGTCAATGATATATTAACCCACTAGGGGGCACTGTCGGGACAGTCTGAAGCCATTGTATGGGACTGATAACACCTAATAACGTCCATTTCATGGATGATAACATCAAAATCTCCTGGTTTTAGTGGATGAAAGGAGCTGAAATATCTTGTTGACATAAATGTGTATAAAATGATGAAACAAACATTTGCTCTTAAATTTGTGACACTGATGTCGTTCGAACGTTCTGAGAAATGTTAAATATTTTTAAATAATCGTCCAGACTGAAATATAATCTGCAGTTTGTTTAAAAACATATTTTTGGGATAAATTATGAG